CTAGGCATTTCTTTCTCTCTTTCTTTCTTTGATTTTATTTATTTGAAAGAGAGAGAGAGAGAGAGAGAGAGAGAGAGAGAGAGCATGAACAGGGGGAGGGGCAGAGGGAGAAGCAGGCTCCTTGCTGAGCAGGGAGCCTGATGTGGGACTCCAACCTAGGACCATCAGATCATGCCCTGAGCCGAAGGCAGATGCTGAACCAACTGAGCCACCCAAGAGCCCCTAGGCATTTTCTTACACCTCTTTAATTTAGTGCTTTATGCCTAAAAGGTGCTCAATGAAAAATTTTTAATTGACACATTTGAAGTGATATTTTTTAAAAAAGATTTTATTTATTTGACAGAGAGTGAGAGAGTGAGTGCACAAGCAGGGGGAACAGCAGGCAGAGGAAGAGGGAGAAGCAGGCTCCCCACTCAGCAGGAACCCCACCCCAACATGGGCTTTATCCCGGAGCCCTGGAATTATGACCTGAGCCAAAGGCAGAGGTTTAACCGACTGAACCACCTAGGCACCCCTCATTTGAAGTTATTAATAAAGATAAATATTCTTATCGTGGGGAGACATTAATATACAGTAATCAAGAGTCCAGCCTCTTAAGCCAGAGTCCCTGGGTGTGAACACAAGCTCTGACACTGACTAGGTGTGTGATGCTGGTCAGGACACCTCATGTTGCTTGCTCAAGTTTTCTCATTTGTAATACGGGACTAATGCTTAAAATAATACTTGGCGTAACAAGTGCTATGTAAGCATTAACTATTATTTTTATTATAATATCTAACTTTTATTCAGTGTTTGCTATTGCCAAGTACTAAGTACTTCACATTTCACCTCAATTAATCTCCCCAGCAACTCTACAAAAGGAAGTCATGTTATCATATCAACCTTCTATGGGATGTTAATATCATCTCTATTTCAGAAATGATGAAAAAAAGACTCTAAGAGTTTAAATAATTTGACCAAGTCAAATGAGGTAAAGTCAGAATTTGATGTAGGTCTGCTGGACTCTAGTCAGTCTATCATGTTATTCTTGGAGAACCAGTTTTAACATTTACTATTATAAAAGCACCCAATTCAGGCCTATAATGCATTGAACAAACATCCGTGTCACTTAAGCATCTATCAACCTTCTAGTCATTGTGGACTTGGGCACTTGGCTCATGGTATTTCTCTTAACATTTCTCTCTGTCTCTCCAATGTTTGCTCATCTCTCCAGCCCTGATCCCATAAACAGGATGACCTGGAATCTTCCTCCACCAGCATCTAGTAGTATGTTAGACCTAATCATTACCTGGAACTGTTCCACTTTGGATATGGTGATCGTAACCAAAGACCTGGTGGCTTTTTCACTCCTCAATCCTGCAACAACCACTCTTTAATCTCACAGAAATCTCCTTTTCTTCTATTTAACATTTTCTTCTAGTTTATCATTCCTTTCCAGCTCACTCCATGGATCCTATGATTGATGATTTAAGTTATTACCAATCTGATTTAAGTTATTACCAATTTGATTTAATTGATTGATGATTTAAGTTCTTACCAATACCATGTATTATTCTCCTTGCACATCACCCAGCAAAGCTCCACATTTGGATCAGTGTTAGCTCTTCCCCTTACCCTCGAATGGTTATATTTTGATACAGAAAATCAAACATCATGCAGTTTCCTCCACTACAAATTCATGATCCTCAACCTCAGCCATGCTCTCAGCATCACTTACTACTCCCATGATTGATTTTTAATTTTCAGTTTTCAGCTTTCATTTTCCCTAATGGCCGTTCCAAATCCTCACCACCTTCCTCAAGCATCTTTTTCACGTTCCACTCCTTGAATTCAGTAGACAACATTCCCTCTAAATTCATCAGGATAATCGAGGGCTTTAGTTATTGGAGTTTTAGAAATCCACCCTTGGTCACAAGTTTATAGGGTTCCATATTCTTCCTGAGGGATCACTTCTACTTTTATGGCATAAATATACCCATGCTGATGACTTTCAAATCTATATCTCTAGCTTGTACTTCTCAATCTTGAAGACCCGTGTCTATGGAGGTTCCACAGAGATTTCAAATTCAAAAGGTTCAAAATTGAACACATCATTGTTTCCCTAAGACCTATATCTCCTGCAGGGCATTCTTCTCTTCCCAGGCACCATGGGGGTAGGAGGCATGGCCACCATCTACTCAAGCTAAGAGGTTGATGTCATCCTTGAGTTCTCTTTCTTCTTTACTTTCCACATGGATTCAGTTTCCAAGTGCTGCCAAACTTTCTTCTTGTTTCTAGAATCTCCCTTCTCTTCCTTGTCCTAGTGCAGTCTCTTGACCCAACTGGACTGTCCTGATAGTAGTTTCTGAAGCTTCCAAACTTTTTGATCTCAGACTTGGCCCCCTCGATCTATCCTCATCACTGCTGCTAGCTAGGTGATGTTTCTAAACACAAATCTGACCATATCACACTCCCACTTAAGATCCTGCATTGACTCTCCATTGCCTACAGGATAAAGTCCCAGTTTCTTGGCATGACATGCATGGCCATCTGTGATTTGGCATTAGCTTCGTTCTGCAGTGCTTTCATTTACCAATCCCTATGGAGCTCCTTATGCTCCAACCAGAAAGAAGAGCTTGCAGTTCCTGTGGGCTGCTTTGTTTTTCTCACTCTATGCCTTTACTCATAATGTCCCCTCTACCGAACTGCGCTTCCACTCCTCTGCCTTTATCTGGCCAACTCCTATCCTTTAAGACTTAGTTCATGGGTCACTTCTCTTGGGAAGCCTTTCTTGACAAGCCATCTTCCCCTTCTCCTGAACTCCAGGCAGCATTAGCAACACTGCCCTTGTGCTTCCACAGCTCTCTGTTCATTGCATTGAAAACATCCCAGTGTATTTACCCATTTATGTGTCTGGATCACAATTAGATTGCTAGCTCTTTGAAGCTTAGGACTGTGTCATATTTCTCCTTGTACCTCTTTGTCTAGCAGTGGCATAGAGGAGGTGCTCGATAATGTTTAATGTTGAACAAGTAAACGAGTGATCCATTAATGAAATACTATTTCATTTATTTATTTATGTTTATTTTATTTTATTTTTTGACAGGGGGAGAGAGTGCACAAGTAGGCAGAGCGGCACACGGAGGGAGAGGGAAAAGAAGGCCCCCCTCCAAGCAGAGTGCTCAATGTGCGGCTTGATCCCAGGACCCTGGGATCATGACTTCAGCTGAAGGCAGATGTTTAACCCATTGAGCCAACCAGGTGCCCTAAAATACTATTTTATATTTAAAATGATTTCTCCACTTTATGAACAAGCCAGAGAGTAATCCATATCAACGAACATCGTGATTATTTCTCAATCTGATTATGAGTAACAATAGGCAGAACGATAGTCAAGTGGTGCCCAGAGTCAGTGGGGCCCCGCGAGAGGAATCTCGAAGTGTCTGTAGTTGTAAGTGCTGTGGTGGCAGACAGCTAGGATTCCTACAGAGTGCCAGAAACCTGCCAGACTTCCATTCTATTCATACAAAATGCTCCCAGTTTAACCTTCAGTGTTTATAAGTTTTATTTGCCGAATGAAAACTCATTTGCTATACCTTAAGTTAATAACCTATAGATTTATGATTTGAAGTAAAAAATAGGACAATGGGAAACAAACTAGAGTCACAGCTCATTTTTCCCCCTAAAATGACTTTCTTAGGATCTAATGCTTTTACAAAGAGCCTAGGCAGAGCAAGAGCTGAAAACACCATTGCTTTCAAAGCATTTCTTTGTGGAATTTAAGGAAGAAGGTTGGGGAGATCGGCATATTTTCCTGAAGTTCAGCACTGAGGGTTTTTTTTTTTTTTTTAAAGTAGGCTCCACCTCCAACGTTGAGCCTAACTAGGGGCTTGAACCTGCACATGAGGACCTGAGCTGAGATCATGAGTCGGTAGCTTAGTAGACTCAGCCACCCGGGCACCCCGGTACTGTTTTTGAATTTCAAGTATCACTAGGTCTCCTTTTATAATTAAAGTCATAATAAGTAATAATAGTGATTTTAAAAGAAGGAATTGCTAGTAATAATAATAATAATAATTTTATAGAAGTCACATGTCCTCCAATGCCCAGTGAGTGGCAGGTGTTTTTCACCAAGTATCCTACTTATGCTTCCCAACGACCTTTAAACAGAAATTATTTTCCCCTTTTTCTGTTTGAACTGAGGTTCAGTGAGATCAAATAACTTGAGGCCGGTCCAAAGGACGAGCTGGGCAGACTCCCGGGCCAAAGGCCACGTGAGCTTCGGCAGGTGACACTGAGCCTCTCCTGGACTCTGGGTTTTGTTACCTGCTCGCGTGCATGGGGATGCAGGGCGGTGCGAGGCCGCCCACGAGGGTAAGCACAGAACGTGCTGGAAAGGTGCAGGAGCCACAGGCGCGCGGGCGGCTGCGAGCCGGAGGCAGGGGCCAGGCGGCCGCCAAGAGCGGGCTGGACGGGCGCGCCCCACCGAGCCCTTAGGTAGGGGCGAGGGGCGGGGCCTGGGAGCGCGGAGACACCCGCGGACCGGCCGAAGTGCCGCCTCTCCCGGGGGGCCGCGAGGGGAGCAGGGAGAGCGCGCGGGCATCCCGGAGCCTCCGTGGCGGCCCAGGCGGCTCCAACTGACTACCCGAAACCGAGGCCGAGGCCGCGCTCGACCTTCCTCGGGGCGGCCTCCCCGGGAGCGCGCGGGAAGGGGACGGTCCTGCGCAGAGCCCCCCCCGCAGGTTGGTACGGCCCGCCCCCCCCCCCCCCGCCGCTGATCTGGCAGGCTGCGCGCGCACCCTCCGGCCCGGTTCCCTCCTCCCGCTCCTCGCGTGCAGCTCGCTGGCCCCGCGCCCGCCGGGGACGCGCCGCGCGCCTGGGCGGAGAGGAGCGCGGCCGCGGGGGCGCGCCCCGGTGGCTCCGCCCCCCCCGCTCCCCTCCCCCGAGTCCCGGGTGCCCGGCTCGCGCGGCGCGGTGCGCGGAGAGCGGGGACCCGGCGCCAGCCCGCCCGCCCGCCCGGCCCTGCGTCCCCGCCCCGGCGTGCGAGGCGCCGCGCGCTCCTGCCGCCCCGCTCGGTGCATGGAGGGCGCCGCTCGGATCGCAGCCGCCGCCGCCGTAGCCGCCGCCCGCGCGCGGGGCATGACCTGGGGGTGGCCCTGGGAGCCGGCCGCCGCGCAGGAGGTGCGGGGACGGGGTCCGCGCGGCCGAGAGGTGCGGGGGTGGGCGCGCCGCAGCCCGGGAGGGCGGGGGGCCCGGGGGGCCCGGGGGGCCCGGGCTCGGGGCGCGCGGCTGGGGCGCGGGCGGCCGCGGGGGTCCCGGGCTCGGCGCGGGCCGGGGAGGGCGGCGACGGGTGCCCGGCGCGGGGGCTGCGGCGGTCGGCGCCCCGGGGCCCGGAGCCGCGCGGGGGGAGGGCGGGCCGAGGTGTCCGCAGCCCGCTCCCGCCCCCTGACCGAGGCCCGCAGGCAGGTGAGGGCCGGCGGCGCCGCGAGTGGGGGCGCCAGCACGTTTCCCCGAGGGAGCGGGGTCCCTCGCCTCTCACCTCCATCCCGCGGCGCGCCCGCGAGAGACAGTGATTTATGTGCGGGGAGAAGCGAGAGAAATTTCCTGCACAATGTATCTTTCTCTGCCTTCACAGACCCAGCGCCTTCCCAGCCCCAGGGAGTGCATTTTTCCTTGCCCTCCGTGAGGCTTTCTGTGGATTGCATTATCATTTGCTAAATGCATTACAGCTCGCTCTTTATTTCGGTCTGCAGCTTCCAGACCTTTGTTGCTTTCTCTCCGCATCTAGGGATTTCAGCAATAAATCACTTGAGGAGGATAGATGACTCTCGCCCTCGCCTTCATTGTTCTCCCTAACCCCACCAAATCAGGTGGAAGGCTCTGCAAAAGGAGCTCTTCTCCAGCAGTGCCTGCCTTTCCTTGGTCAGGACGACCGGAGGGTGGCAGGTGCTTTCCGATGGAGAAGTAGACTTTAGGGGAACCTCATCAACGGAAGGTCAGCCTCTGTGTGTCCTAAAGCAGACACTTTGAGAAACAGAAAGTTGAACCCCGAAGCTAACAGGAGATTCGTTCTCAGCGGTCAGTGGCCAACAAAAGTGAGAGAAGCCAGTTCTGTTTCCGTGCCTCGCTGATACCGTGGCCCTGCGCCTCCCCAGCTGACACTTGGCATATACCTAAAGGGCAGTGTCAAGGAGGAAAAGGTGGGAAGCGGGGCCCCAAAATAAATGGGATTATTCTCACTGTAGTTCTAAGCACGCTAGGACATTTCGTAGCTCATTTTTGAAAAGTAGTCTATTTTAGCTGAAATTGGGGGTGGGGTGGGGTCGTGGTTCAGCTTTTAGGACAAGATGAAAGAAAAATTTTCTGGAAATTTTAAATTAGTGCTTAACTAGAAAGCATTCTTAGGAACCCAGAGAGGCACCAAATACTGTAGTTTCTGTTATGCACATGTTGAAATAAACTGCCTCATACTTGAAGTTATATGAGAAGGATGGAGAAAACCTGTTTCATTTTGTAAAGACGTGCCCTGGGTGTGTGCTTGGCAGTGGGTAGAGCAGAAACATTTATGTTTCTATAAACACACACACACACACACACACAAGTGTATATTGTTTAACTGTCATGCGAAAACTCGGATATAGTATTTGGAAATCTGTCTTTGTTTGAATAGTTTAGTCAACCAGGAAAATCAGTTACTAGAGGTACTGTGCTATTGTTTGTGTAGTAACTCACTTGGGATGCTTTGATTGATTGCTGTGGTTCTCATCAACCTCCTCTTCTGTGGAAAGTACTTAAACAGCCCTGACTCTCAAGCCGGGAAGTACAAAGAACCCTTAGGACTTGGAGCATACTGATCTAGCTTGTGTAGGTTGGCTTCTAAATCAATCTTACCCTTTGCCTTCTTTGCAAGAAAGGAATTAAGTTCACTTTAAGATAGGGCCCCTCTACCCCCCCACACCCCCCATCAGCAAGGTATGTATATATCTGTCTATATATATATATTTATATATCTATATATGTAGATGGAGGCTTCATGTGGGAATAGGAACCTCTGTCATGGGGCTTTGCTCTAAAGAGGTCAGGTAAAATTTGTTGACTCGTTCTCCTGCTTTTCTGTTTTCCACTTTACCCTTATGCCCTCATAGCTTTCTAGATGATTTCATTTATGAGTTTGTCAAAATATAAGTTGAAGTAAAAATGTTCTTCTCTAGAGATGTTTCTTTTGCCAAAGTTGGGACTAAAAATTGGTGACTGTGTCTAAGCATATCTTGGGGAAATGATTTTAGGAATTCAACCTGATCTTAGTGATATTAGGCTGGGGTAGGAAATTAAAAACAACTAATTGAAAAATTGGCTATTTATAACACGTAATTACATTGGCTATGGCCTTGTAATTAGCATTTGTACTATGTAGAAGGATAGATAAGACAACACATCAGGAGAGCAGATGAGTTGTGTACCACGTAGTCTTTCTTTAGATATATGATCTTACTACTTAATAGGAACTAATTAGATTAGAAAGAGAATTTGGAGTCTGGTTGCTAAATAGATTGCTTTGAAGAACTCGATTTTATGGTGATTTTTGATTAGTGCTTCCTCTTCTCTCCCTCCCCGCCCCCAAGAACTTTTGTTGCCTTGGATTGAATTAGAGAATGTTTTATTGTTTTTATTCAAGGTTTTATATTGTATGTAAACATTCCATTTATTTATAAACATTCCATTTACAAATTTTTGTTGTGTATATGGCACTAATTGACTTTTGAGAGGCTGAGGAGGAGGGAGGGCTTTGAGTCTTCTCAGTGAAAATTAAAAGATGGTGTATGGAATATCCTTCATGTCATTTAAAAAAATATTGGATTACAATTAAGTGAAAAACTGTTGGTTTTTTTTTTTTTTAATATTAATCCTTCAAGGTTCTCGTCATTGTTTGTGCTCTTTCCCCCATTGTCAGGCTTAAAACATACAGTATCATTGTCATCTGTCCCCTGAATAATGGTCCTGAGGTGATATTATTAATGTGGCTTTTTAAAATCAAACTAATTATACTTGCCTAAAAGAGCCACATGTGTGTGATTCTAGCTGCCTGGTGCCTTTTGAGAGCCCGGGAGACAAGCTAGTGAATAGAGCTGAAAATTCATTCTGTATTTGATTAAATGGAACAGACTCGCTGCTCCTTACCCCAGCAGGGGCTATGAGATCTCTTGATCCCCGAAGCGGCTCCAGGACCCTGGGAATTCCATTAGCGAGCACCTGAGGAATTTCTGCCCTGCAGTGCCTTTTTTGTATGTGTGTATGTGTGTGTGTGGAGAGGGAGGGGGAGCTGAGTGGTGATGGGGCGGTGGAGGGAGGGGGGCGGAGAGAGGCTGCATTAGAAGACTCCATATGTTAGCAGATCTAAAATCAAGGCATGACTTAACAGCTTATCTTGTAAGAGAAAAGCCCAACCCGAAGGCAGATTGCTAGTCAGAACTTTCTTGCAAGCAGGACTGTGTGGGGATGTGTTCTTAGCACTGAACCCAACGCCACTGTAAGTACAGAAAGTCACTTCTCTGCTTTCCCTCTGAAGCGCAAGCATATACACGTCGCGGACTCGGTAAGTTTTCTCTGAATGATCTTTTGATAAAGATGTGAAATTGTGTTACAGTTTGGTCTTGCCTGCAAGGGCCCATGTATTCTAATAACTCCTTCAGCTGAGAGCAAAATCAGACTTTAGGTGAAGCAGATTGCTTCAGGAGCAGAAATGAAGTGCTCCTTCGAATTGTGTGCTCTTTAGTTTTTTATGTGATTTTATTGCCTTCTTGTTGCATTCTTAGAGAATTTAAATTCATGTAGGGTACATACGTCTCTTTCCTGCTGTCTTTTTTTGAGAGTTCTGGCTGTTAGGGTCTTTGAAGGCATTGCTCTGCAGACTTGCCAACAGCCGCAAGTAAATGAAAATAGGTCTATCAGGAATATCCTGTGAAAATCTTTGGAGCAAAGTGTTTGAGAAGCATGAGTGTATCTTCCTTCCCTGGCCCCTCCCTCCCACCCCCAGCTGCCCCAAATAATCTTTGGATGCAAGCATTTCTCCGGATATTAGTCCAGTGTGTTTCTTGTGTACTTTTCCAGGAGGAGCAGCTCTGGGTCTTGGAGTGTAGAGTTAATTGATTTCTGTATTCCGAGAAGAGTTAAACGTGAACGTGGATTCCAGTGCTAGTTTTCAACGGATGCGTGATGCGGTGGCTCATCCGATGGTTAATTTCATGTATTTTTGTCCCTGATTAAAATCACGTTGCGTCACAGTCCTTTCCGTCTGGCCACCATGTAGTGCTCTACCAAATTCTCCTCACAATACAGAGTGTTGAGAAAATAAAGAAGCCTTTTAGAGACTACATTTAAGCCTTTCCCACCTTAATCCTGGGTATACCTTCTCCAGGACAGCCACCTAGGAAGGACTCTTGAATGAATTGGAGTAAACACTGAAGTCAGCACTGTGCCTTTCTTGGTTCAGGTTATATGACTGAACTGAGATACATTCCCCTTACCGTTTTGTTGCTTAGAACTGCATGGCCCGTTTTATTTTTAGACGATCGCACCACAGATAGAATTAAAAACTTGACACAGAAAGCTTGCTTTTCAGCTGCATATTCTTTTTTTTTTTTTTGATTTTTTTTTTGTTTATTTATTTATTTATTTATTTATGATAGGCACACAGTGAGAGAGAGAGAGGCAGAGACACAGGCAGAGGGAGAAGCAGGCCCCATGCACCGGGAGCCCGACGTGGGATTCGATCCCGGGTCTCCAGGATCGCGCCCTGGGCCAAAGGCAGGCGCCAAACCGCTGCGCCACCCAGGGATCCCCTCAGCTGCATATTCTTGTTGGAGACTGGCTCACCTCTTTTCCTTTATGTGAGCCGGGCCACTGAGCCTGACCAATGTCTTGGTTTCCTCATCTGGAAAATGGAGATAACAACAGCATCTCCTACCGCTGTCGTGGGGATTACATGGGATATTGAAAGTAAATCTTTCGCTTGGATATACTGAAACATCTCTGAGTTAGCTGCTGTACTTTTAGTAATTCCTCCTGGACACATTGGTTTATTCCTTTGATCCAGAGTAATTTCCTTGAAATACTGGCTAGAAAGGAATTCTCAGAAGCCAGTAACAGTGTGGGGACACCCAGCTGTTGTGGTGTGCTGCAGTTTTCTTAATTTTGCAGTTGAACTGCAGAGG